GTTCTTTAGGGGCCTTCTAGAACAAGCAACAAGGATTTGAAATAAACGGGTATGAGTAACAAGAGTTTGAACAGATCAGCATAGCCGTTACAATTGAATGAAGAAACAAACAAAAAAGTGTTCGCTAAAGCCTAATTCTTTATTCTAATTTTTCTTTTATTATGGGATATCAATAGCTTAAAAGTAAGGTTCGTTTATGATTGGTTGAATAATGCGTTTCTAAGTTAAAATGCGTGTAGGCAACTTGGCGCCAATTTGCTTTTCATTAAAGCTAACCTGTTCATTTTCAATTGGAAATCATATAAATAATAACAAAAAGTGCTGATTTTTTTTACAGTATTTACATTAGTCGGACTATTGTCCTCATCTTTGTCGCCATATTTGTCACAACGTTTCGGTTGCAATATGAGCACTGGTAAAAATGATGCTGAAAACATTAGGTTTATAATACTCAGAAGTTCATACCCAGATGTCCTCAAGGACACATGGCACAGTGGATAAAGGCGTTGGTTAGATCCAGTGACAGACCCAAAGAAGGTGAGCTCAATACCTGGTTAAGGCAGTGGAGAGCTTTCAGAGAGAAAATTAGCAGGAGATAACTGATAACTGACACCCATCAAACATGGCACGTGGAACTAGAACAGTCTACCCCAGTGATCGAAATAAAGGGTTCAGTTCGAAATTCCAACCACCTGAAGAAGACCGGAGCGTACAACGGCCGAAACGTTGTGACAAATATTTTTATACCTCCCTACGGTTTTGAGCACGGAAGCGACAACTTCTAGATTTTCTTTATGAAGATTCGTTGTATTCAACATGCATATATTTTCCTGCATATATATTTGCCACATTGCATTTATTGTAATTGTTTTGCATTTATTGCAAAATATTGTGCATGTATTTATTGTGCCGCGTATAGTCTTTTGCATGTCTTAAGCATGTCTTATACATACGGGAATCCACTAAAAATATCTTTTAAAGCAATAAAATTGTTGGATTAAATCCATTAATCCTTTATAAATGGATTTGTTTACGTTTCGGATACAGTGTAACCCGGATATAAGAGACCTGGATATAAGGGAAACCCGGATATAAGAGAGATTTTCTCTGGTCCCAAATTAGAGCCTGTGTTAATGTATATGAAATAGATCAAACCCGGATATAAGAGAAACCCGGATATAAGAGATTTCTTCTCCGGTCCCGACAACTCTCTTATATCCGGGTTACACTGTACAAACTGAGCAGACATGATCTTTTGAGAAAAATAATCTAAATGAGGTAATGTGCTTTCCTTAAAAGGGAAAATACAACCTTGCTGGACTGTTCTCTCTCCATGGCCGAGCGGTTTAAAGCACAACAGATCAAAAGTCTCTTTGAACAAGCGTTACTTTTGTGATGTCAACGAATACTCGTTGACACTTTTGTGATGTCAACAAATACTCGTTGTCACTTTTGCAATGCTCGTTGTAGTAGAGACTTTGCAATCGCAGATACAACTATAGTACACTATTGAAGAATACTGGTGACAGACGCCTTCGAACAGCACTCGCACTAATAGTACTAGCTCGATAATACTCGCTCGAATATTAATCCATATAGTGATCCGAATAGAGAAATAGTATAGAGTAGAGAATAGCGTTCCGAATAGTAATAGAGGATAGACTAGAAATAGAGATCGTTAGTCGTCAGGTACTTTCTACATGTATGCCTTTCCTCTATGGTTATGTGTTCTACTGAATTCAATAATGGGATCGCCTGTGTTTGCTGACTGACGATCTATGTTCAAACTCAAGTGTCGGCAGCGACAATTTATTTTTATATACCAGTTACCAGTAAAGCATTTCATATTACAAGAATAAAATCTACATTAGAGAGACAAAATGGCATTTATAAGAATTGTCTGAACAAATGATTTTTACTTTAATTGTATCGTGTTAGAAAATGGATTTTAACTATTTTTAACACAGCCTTTATTTTTATTTATTTATTTTTAATTCATTTTGTTTTTTATTTATATTCATCTTTACTCACATTGTCATTATATTAATTATATCGTATGTAGCGTTCACTTTTTCATATTAAACCTGTTTTTGCATGTTAAAATTGTTACCGATATGCTACTTTTTAGCGTAATAAATAGAACGAAAGTTTTTAATTTGAATGTCAAGTTTTTACAGACTCCAGGAAATAACAGTGTTAGAATATTTAAACATAACTAACTCAGTCCCTGTTCCTCGAAAAATTAGCTGAAGAAAAGTGCTATCAGTTAAAGAAATCAGATGCTAATATTATTAATGTTGTGTACTGTGGATTTTCTTTCTTTACTTTAATTGTAACGTGTTAGGAATTGGATTTTAACTACTTTCAACACAGTCTTTATTTTTATTTATTTATTTTTTAATTTATTTTGTTTTTTAATTTATTTATTTTTTATTTATATTCATCTTTACTCACATTGTCATTATATTGATCATATCGTATGTAGTGTCGATGTTTTCATATTAAACCTGTTTTCCTTGTAAATTTTTTTCTCTATATGCCACTTTTTAGCGTGATAAATAGAATAAAAGTTCTTAATTTGATTGTCAAGTTTTTTTTCAGACTCCAGCAAATATCAGTGTTACAATATTTAAACTTAATAACCAACTCAATCCCTGTCTTTCGAAAAATTAGCTGAAGAAAAGTGATATTAGTCAAATAAATCAGATGCTAATATTACTAATGTTGTGTACCGTAGATTTTCTTTCTGTTCAGTGATAATAATGCCTTGTCGATAATTTTTAATCAAATAAAAACAGGACGATTGAAAAAAGAGTCTAAAAAAGAATTGAATATTGCTGCCACATCTGTGCTTCTGCTACATATCTTGAGATTCTCAACAAAATCAAAAGAAGAGTCTATAATGTTATCGGTCTTGATGATGTTTCGACTTCAGTTACTATGCCACTACCGTGGATGTGAATTCCCTGTTTCATGTACATTTTTCAAATGGGCCTCCCTCCTTGGTAATGCAACTATATGATTTTAAGCATACTACGAGATTGGCAAATGGGTCTCATTGTTTTACTACTGAAATAGCTAAATGTAAGCGAAGTTCTATTCTAATAGTTTCTTTTCTCGTACTTCTCGCCCGTGGAATTCTCTTCTGGTTTCTTATCTCCTTCTCACGATCTTCGAGAACTGAAATGCAACATCAACCGCCATCTTCTATCTTCCTGATTCTTGTTCTTTTATTGTCCTTTCTCCTCGCTAACGTCATCTTATTTTCTTTCACACTCGGCAACTCCTTGCGTCTCAGTGGTATTGTCGCCTTATTTGGGATGAAATGATTAAATAAAAAAAAAGAAAAGCAACCAACTGTTTGCATTGCGATCAATATAGAGGAAGTGCGTTTTTCATATTTTCAGTGTTTCTTTCATTCCAGATCAAGATCACTGTAACCCACTAGGGTCGTGGGGACATTACATATACTGCAGCCACAGTAGCAGTAGTTTTTTTTTTTTTTTGACTTGGACAAGATAGCCTTTTTTTCTTCTCCTAGACCGACTGTCACGCAAAGCTATATGACCTAGTCTGTCCTGATTTACCGAGGCTTCTTGACTCTAGTGCAAACTGGCAGTGTGTCTGGATTCTTAACTCTAGAGTAAACGAGTTATGTATCTGACTACTTGACTCTAGAGCAAATAAGTGAAAGAAAGAAAGAAAGAAAGAAAGAAAGAAAGAAAGGATGAGTGAAAGAGAAAGAAATAGATAGCAAAAGAAAGAAAGAAAGAAAGAAAGAAAGAAAGAAAGAAAAGAGTAGATATAGAGAGATTAGGGCAAATAAATATTCAAATGAAGAAAGATATTATATCGATAATGACATTTTTAATAAATAATAGAGAATTGTAAAAGCCATACGAATAGTAATAAATGCCTGCTGCTTCAGCAGACATTTAATACTATACATCCAACAAAAAACTGTACATTTACTCTTGAGTTAAAAAACAGCGCTGTGAACTTTTGCACACATATATATATATATATATATATATATATATATATATATATATATATATATATACAGAGAGAGAGAGAGAGATCGATAGGTTTCGCACACGACAGACAGAGAGTGAAAGAAAAAAGGAAAACTTCTTTGGCGGTAGAAAAAAAGTCATTGTATGTGCCTAAATATAGATTGGTGATTACACTTTGACGAAGTAGTTGTCTGTTGGTGTGTGTTCCATTAAGGAGGGCCCGCTTCTAACAGTTTAGCCACCCACCGCCCACTACAATACCAGTTTCTTCTCAAAGAGAGCAAGTTATAGACATTTTTTTTTCAAAATGGGTCACTGATGTAAGCAACGAGACGAAGAAAGACGACACAATCACTCTTCTACCTTGTTTATTGTTCTCCACTTTTGATTTACCTTTCCTTCTTACCCGCTCCTTCTCTTTCTCTTCTTTCTTCTTCTTCTTTCTCTTTTTTATGCTCACTTTTAATATTTGTTTCTCCCACCCGCTCCAAGCACCTTTGTTTTCCTTCACTCTTTTCATAACGCGTCAGAAAAGACGGAAAACAAAAACTAAGATCGTTGCCTCTGAGCACTCTCTGCTTTTCAACAGCCCCACCCCCGCTCCATTTCTTTCACAGATAGATAGATAGATAGATAGATAGATTTGAAAATAATATGACATATCTGGAAAGGACAAGTCAAAATAGATTTTAAAGACAGTAATAGATAGATAGATAGATATTGATCTTGTACGGCTTATCAAACTTTTTAAGGTTTAAGTAACATAAGCCAAACCGTATTTTTGGATAGTCAGAATTTTTGGAGATATTAATGATTTTCTTATACAATTCTGACTATTTAACCCATAGCTGGGAGAAGAGAGGGTGGATTCATACCATCCCCAATGGTATTTGCGTGTAAGTGAATATAACGAACATTACTGGAATTCGAACGCAGCTCTAAGTTCTCTCATTCCGTGCCTTTATCCATTACAGCGCATCTAAGCTTACAACACCTGGTATTGCCGAACGGTCACCCACTACTAACCAGGTTCAACGTTACTTAACTTCGTTGATCGGATGAGAACCGGTGCTTAAACGTGATACGGCCGTAAACAGATAGATAGATAGATAGATAGATAGATAGATAGATAGATAGATAGATATACGCGTGTGTGTGTGCATATGTGTATGTATATATATATAGAGAGAGAGAGAGAGAGAGACAGACAGACAGAAAAGACAGTTGTGAACTGGCAGACAGAAATAGATAGAGAGATAGATAGATATGAACAAACTGAGATGTGTGTGTGCGCGTGTGTGCGTGCGTGTGTGTGTTTGAGTGTGCGTATATATATATACAGTGGGGAGAAACAAATATTCGTACACATACACATTTTTAACTAATGAATAAACATAATTTTCATATAATTAACTGTACACAGATGCATGACAACTAAATATGCATAGAAAACAGACAAAAATCGATTTAATAGAAAGAAATCCGATGTATCCATTTTAATGGGTGAAAAAATATTCGTACAATGAAAACTTAGATTTTAAAACCTTTAAATTGCTTTAATACTCTAGATTATTCAAGTAAGATGTTCTTGAATTTTTCAGTAATGTTATCAGTCGTTATTTTTTAGCCTAAAAAATACAAACAAAACATTCTGTAATTGATATTCGTGCAAGAAAGTTTTCATCATAGCAAGATTTAAAGAATTGGTAAATTCGCAAAAAGAACTGATTGCTACACTCTGGAAAGAAGATAAAAGTCACAAGAAAATCTCAAACAACCCGAATATTCGATTTATTACCATTAGTTCTTTTTTTTTTTTTTGAAAGATATTGATAGAGATTGGAATCAACCAACAAAATCGATCTAATAGATTTCTATTTCCATCATAACAACAAAATAAAATGCGGTATAATCATCGGATTCTACTTAAGAGCATTCATAATTTGCAGCCCTCAATATTTACATGAAGAGGAGAAGTACATTGAAAACACTTTCAAACTTCTTCCGTATCTTTATTATTTTATATTCAGTACGAAACAAAAGGCTCATAAAATATTCCAAAATAGAAAAACGGACCCTCCTAACAAACCCAATGAACCAAAAGAATATAACTCTATCACATCTACGGTTGGAAAGAATCTATCTAAACTCAACATAAAATTTGTTACTATTACATCTAAAACAATAAAAAATTTAGTCAATACTAAACAAAACAAATAACTAAAACTTGAAGGAGGTATTTTCACGATCGCCTGTAATAATTATCACAAAATACAGATCGGAGAAACATCAAGGAATTTAAATAAAAATGGTTCTCTGATCAAAGGAGAAAACAATTCACTTCGACGGAAATGTCTAGAGAGTGTCTTGATGGCAAGTAAATTCGTTCCCAGGCTCATGCAACATTTCACCATTCCTGGCAGAACTTCTATTATCACAGAGTGGGATATCTACTAATAAAAGTGATGGATATAAAGAAAAGAAAATGAATCTAAATGAAATCGGCTAGATTTAAAAAAAAATAAAATAAAATTCCCAGCATCCCTCGTTCGTGCGTATGTGCAGTCGCACCAACAAAATTTAGTCCGATGAAGCCCTACAGGACGAAACACGTCACAAGAAAACTTATTCCACTTTGTCCCCATGTATATGTGTGTGTGCGTGTGTATGTATGTGTGTGTGCGTATGCGTGTGTATATCTTCATGTGTGAATACATATAGGCGTGTGTGTATTTGTGTAAGCTTTTCATAAATACACACGCCCACAACAACTCATATATATGTGTGTGTCATTAAATCTGTCACAGCTAGAGAGTGCGTCGACGGCCAACTCGTATTTAAGTAGACGCTCTGTTTATTTATTAAACAGTGTATTTATTTATTTTCGTCTCTATATATTTCGAATACTCAGGTCGATAGACGAAAATAAATAAATATACTATTTAATATATAAGCGGGGAGTCTACTCAAATACGAGTATCCACTAAAAATAATGTTTAAGTAATAAAAAAAAACTGTTAGATTAATAAATAAAATTCATCCCCTTCTTTACAAATTGCTTTGTTTACGTTAGGATACAAGACTGAGCAGATATATCTATTTCAAGAGCCAGAGAAAAATCTGTGTTTAAAGGCACTATTCATATGCGTGTGTGAATACATATAGACGTGTGTGTATTTGTCTAAGCATTTCATAGATAGTAGCTCGGATTGAGGAATCGGAGTGCCGAGTTCGAATTCCAGTCGAACCGATTACATTTACTTACGTGCTAATACCCTTGGGAAAAGATATGAATCCTTTTCTTCCCCGCACCCAGGTATGGGTAAATAGCAGTACAGACCGGTTTCTATATCCTTGGATGGCAACTGGCCTATCACAGAAATACATGATCGGCTAAGCGTGTATCACGCATGACACATAACTGACTGAATATGCATGTACATTCACACACTCACGCGGACACACACACACACACACACACACACACACACACACACACACACACACACACACATATATATATATATATATATTATTTTGTATCTGCAGTACTTAGTGGAAAGCGCTCAATATCAGTAATAGAGCTAACGTTCAGTCATCCTCAGGCATGGAAATTAATTTGTTCTTAGTAAAATCCAGGTAACATCTGAGACGAAAAAATTAATTGCGAATCGAAATATGTTTTTTTTTTTTTAATGTTATTGTTAACGGATGCAAACTTTTGGAGCGTGCAGTCTTTTTTTTTTTTTTTTTGAAAATTTAAGAGAGTGCGTTTTTTACCAATATGGTAATTTGAACATCTTTTTGTTGTAGGAGTTTATCAGTCAATGTGTCATGAACTAAATTGTTCAATAAGTAGAATAATGTCTCAGCTGTCATCCTGAAAATTTGCACGTTGGATCAGTTCTTTTAATTTCCATGCCTGAGGATGACTGAATGTACAGTCGAAAATACTTGCGTATTAAAATAAGACCTCATAATTATTAAAGCCAAGGATCATAACATTCATCGAGTAATTTATAGGTTAATGAAACTTTAAAATTTTGTCTGCGAAAGGATTTTGCCATTTTATATCATTAACTTTACTAATCTACTTTTTGTATGAATGATTCATTGTAATATATATATATATATATATATATATATATATATATATATATATATATATATGAACAATAAAAATATTAAAAAATTAAAATCTTTAGACACACTGGATTGTAGATTAATATTCTTTCATTTTTTTATCATTATTTCATTTAGATTCCTCGACTAGTTTCGACCAAAATGGCCATCATCGGGAGGAGAAATATTTCTGCTTGCTGTTGGCAGTGAACTACAGAAATGAATGTCTTTTGCTGGAGAAAATGAACTTTTGTCTGTAGTTTTCATTTGTTTTTTATTTTTTTTATCTTTTTAACATGAATCTTTTAACAATCCTTGTGTTGGTCAAACAGTCTCTTTTAAGTTGTTATTTGAGATAAGAGCTGGATAGATACATGCTGCTCTGAATTCTCTGGTCAGTTTGACAGTTTTATTGGACCTGGTGAGGGGATGTGTCTCTGTTTAGTGTTTGTGTGTGTGTGTTATTTGGTTCTTAGGGAGTGAGTGAGTATGATATGTGTAAGCGTGTGCATTGCTGTGGGTGTGTGTTATCATTTGGCTCATTAGGGAGTGAGTGAGTATGATGTGTGTAAGTGTGTATATTCGTGTGGGTGAGTGTATAAGTGTGAGGCCTCCACACCTCCGTAAACATGTCTGTCTTGTGTGGGTGGGAAATGTGGGTAGGTTTTGATTTGTTGAGTTATATATTGGTACTATCTGTATTGTTAAATTTATGGTTTAGCCCGGCTGGATATTTTGTTTTTAGACGTTGTATCTGTTACAGTTTTTTGTGTATATGTTATGTAACTAGTGAGCCAGTCAAAATGACTTAACTCCCTTTATAGTCCACCAATAGAAGGTTAACCAATCAGAAGACGCAGAACATTCTATCCGTCGTGTATAAAGGCGGCCATTTTTGTTCACACTACCCGAATGTCCAGTCCAGCTTGTCAGGCTAAGAGAACCAGAAGGACGAACTATGCTCTGCTACTTTTATCGAAATATCCACTGCTAACCTGAACAACGCTTTCCTATTGTCTTCGAAATATTCACTGCTAATCTCTGGATTCTATACTCGAAGACGACCGTCATGATGAATAACAGTATCCACTTATTTTCATGGGACTAAAATCTTTCTAATGTTATCTGCTCTGAACTTTTCTATTCTCTCAATTATAGTGAATTTGGCATGGGTTTTGAAATCGTGTTTTTCCAGGCGGAAATGTTGTTCTACAGGTAATAATTTTTCATGGGGAGTCGACTTAATTCGATTGCCATAATTATTAATTCTGTAGTGAAAGTGCCATTCAGATTTTCCCTACATATTGTTTCTGGTATAGTGTGCATATATATATATATATATATATATATATATATATATATATATATATATATATATTGTTAAATATCACAGACAATGAATGTCTATTATATTTTATCATGAGCTGTTCTAAATTTCGTATGGTTGTTTTATTTTCGGGTGAAAATTAATATAAAATTTTCCAACATTTGGCCACATTCATTAAATTGGCCATTGATTTAAGCTTCAGAGTGGTTATACGGTCATCAAAACAAAGATATTCACTATTCAAAAATGATATTCTTTTATGTTGATATTGAGGATTGCTGTACCACGGCAACTGTGTTCCTCTGCTTGTGTGGCGCGGTGCAGAGACCTATTGCCAGACAACAGATCGTCCATCAGCCACTCACTTGACTTAGGGCAACACTATATCCTCAAAGTACGATTTAGGACTCTTTGTTTAGACTGAAGCCCTGTGTGAAGATGAATGCAGGCATAACCTCGCCATTCAAACAGCATGATGTTGACTGGATATATCATCCAACTCTTTTCGAATCCTCTGCACTGTTCTCAGATTGACATCCAAACACTCTAAAATGTTCGTACTGGAGCTTCCGGTGCCAATTCCATCAGTATAACACGCTGTTTCGAAATTTCTGGCGGTGTGAATTGCGTCATAGTGCCCTTT